TGCAAATTCCACATGATCACAATGCATATCTAAAATGTACCAATAAAATGAATTTTTAAAAAAGAGAAGATCACAAGTTTTGTTTGTTTTTTTTTTTTTTTGGTTTTTTTCCGGTACCGGGAACCGAACTCACGACCTTGCACTTGCCAGGCAGGCGCTTTGCCGCTGAGCTAAATCCCCAGCCCCGGTTTGTCTTTTTGAGACAGGGTTTCACTTTGCAGTTCAGACTAGCCTTAAGCTCACTTTTTAGCCCTAGCTGGTCTCGAACTCACAATGATCCTCCTGTCTCAGCCTTCCAAGTGCTGGGATTACAGGCGTGCACCACAGCACCCAGCTAAAGAAAAGGCTTAAAGAGTAGCACAAGGCACAGTGCTGACCTTGGCAGTGCTGAGTTGAGGTACCTCCAGGCACAGATTGCCATCAGGAAGTTGAATATATTGATTTGGAACTGGAGTAAAGAGTTCTGCCTGCAAATTGAAGTTTACGGAGTTGCTGGCACAAAGCTAGAATCACCCCCACAGAGAGCTTAGATATGGAAGAGAGAACTACTTATGCCAGAATCCGAGCTGTGCTCCCGTGGAGAGTGGGGAGTAGGGCAGTACCATTTGCTGGAAAGAGTAGAGGCTCTAAGGCAGAGGGACTGCTCTGTGGCCTTGGGAAGTTTGTGTATGTCTCTGACACACAATGATCTTACCTTTAAAAACACTATAATATTACTTACTTTTCAGGGTTCTCTAGGGGCTTAAAATGATAACATACATAAAATATGCAGCAAACTATTAGGGGTTCATAGCAGCAGCATGCAAGCCTGGGGAGTTAGATTTGTAACTATTCAAACTGGTTTTGTAGCATTACTGAATATAGACTTGCAGAGTAGTTTAGACCAGTGCGTGACAGATGAAAAGGATCTTTTCAAAACTTGGCTGTTATTTAAAAAAAAAGAAAAACTTGCCCATTATGTGAAAGGTAAGAGATATGGAAGGCATTTGGATAAATATAAGTGGCTTATTATTTTTTGTAACACTAATTATTTATTGAGCACTTACATATACCAGAAACTCTTTATGTTTTCCATGCATTATTACACCATTGAATACACACAATAATCCCATTGTTGATTATTATTCCCACCTTAGCAGTGTGGCTTGAGGAGGTAAAATCACTTACTGAATTAGCTTAGGGGTAGTTTTGATGACAATTAATATTTTTTAAATTATAATTTTTTAGTAATCAAGCAGAATGTGAACTGCTTCACATGTCTGCCCTGTCGCATAGCTACTTGCATGTCAGAGTGCCTGTGTTTACTGGACACTAAACGAATGCCTTAGCAGTGTGTTTGAGGTGTTGCCAGATTGGTCCTCTGCTCCTCTTTTCCACCAGAACACTGCCTTAAGGCTGCCCTAGCCATTTCCCCTGTACTCAGGTTCTTTGCTCTATCTGGGAGTCCTTTACCTTCCCCATTGTCACTCTCCTGCTACAGAAATCTGTCCTAGTCTCCAACAGGAAACTGGTAATGCCTTGAAAAGAGTCTGTGGTTGTCTTTCTACCCTCACCCTGATTTCATCTTGTCCTCTGATCTTGTCATCTCCATTTGTTGCCCTCATTGAGTATTTTGATCAAAGCATAGTTGTGGAATGCCTTCTTGACTGCTTTCTGAGGAATCTGCCTGCTTATTCAGTTGGAATGTGAGGTTTTGAGGCTCACAGCCAAGCTCACTTGTTTTGGGAAGAAACTTAACCTTCTAACTCCTCTAACCATAGCCAGAAGATGACACATGGGGTCTAAGGAGCAAAGATCTATCTGCATTAGAGGAAGGAGGCTGAGTGCCTGGTGACAGCTGCCTTCAGAGAGAAACCCTGCCACCTTCTGGTTGGTCCTGGAAACATATGATTAAAATTCCAGTTGCCATGGAAATATTTGTATTTCCATGGTTAGAGCTTGGAAATACAGGGGGTGAGAAATATTCTGTATGAAACTGTACTGGCCAACACATAAATCTGTGCATTTCCCCAGAGGTGCAGAACAATACACCACATAAAAAAAGAATTTTACTGTATGTAAAATGTCTTTTTTAATCAACCAGGATGTGGTAGGAGCAGTACAGGGAACGGAGAGCCAGAATGCACACTATGACAATTGACTCTAACTGGTGTTACAGCGAGTCACATAACCACACTGAAGGGGGTAGGGAAGAAAGGAGCTGACCTTGGGAAATAGTGTTTTGACTGTATATTATAAGGGTAAGGACAAAAAGAATCGCATATAAACAAAGCACTCTAGTTTGTAAAATTTGTTTCTCTCAAGGTTATGTGTTGGAAATTCTGTCCCTACTTTACATGCATACTGTAGTTAAACAAGCAGGTAAATATACTATAAATAATAAGAGGTTTTATACATCAGAGAAGTTATAAATTAGGAAAGGGGAAGGCTAGAGTGAAACCTGAGGTGCAGAACTGAATCAGTAGTGTCAGTGTAGGCTCATGTTTAGGTTTGTAGATAGAAAATATAGATGTATGGGGGTACGTGAGTTAGTACATGCATATGTATTTCCAAGCTCTAACCATATGCGTATGTATTTCCAGGCTCTAGCCATTGCAAGGGGCTAGAAGTGATAATACCCCAGCAGCAGTGAATGCACCTAGCACCCATATCTTGGGTTCTGAGGTGTTTTGTTTTGGTTTGGTTTTGGTATCAGGAATTGAATTCACAACCTTGCACTTGCCAGGCAGGTGCTGTGCTGCTGAGCTATATCCCAGGCCTATATCTTGGGTCCTGGTGCACACCTATAATCTTAGTTTCTCAGGATGCTGAGGCAGGAGGACCACAAGTTCAGGACTAGGGCAATTTAGTGAGACCCTGTCCCAAGAATTAAAATGGGGGTATGGATATGCTCACTAGTAGAGGGCTTACTTAACATGCACAAAGTACTGAATTTAACCCCTAATCCTGCTAATTTAATTAATTTTTAAAAGGAAGCATACTGAAAAGGTTCAGAACCCAACTTGGAAGAATTTTGAGTGGCCAAAGTTGAAACAACTTGGACAACAAAATAAATCTTCCTTATAAAAGACTTACAGTTATAAGAAGAGGTAGAACTTTTGTGAAGGGGAAGATGACCAAGAGATGGAGGAAGGGATGTGAAAGGGCAAGAGAGGGGGTAAGAAAGAATTAAGATGTGTTGTGGGCACATACTGATGCCCCCACAAGGAGTGTAATCATCATATATAGCAAACATGTACTAATAAAAAATTTGGATTAAAAAACTGGATATGAGGGCCAGGGATGTAGCACAAGTGCCTGCCTGACAAACGCAACGTTCTAAGTTCAGTTTCCGGTACAAAAAAAAAAAAACTGGATGTGGTGACACATGCCTGTAATGCCTCAGATTACACTTAGGAGGCCAGCCTCAGCCAATAGCAAGACCTTGTCCCTGTCTCAGAAAAATAAAAACAAATCTGGATTTAAAAAAAAGTTTAGAAAGCATGAGGGAAATACTGTAGAAAATTACTTACGGGATACCACAGTACTCACTGCTGCTGCAAGCAAGATCTGTTGATAGATGTCAACAGAAGTGAGCACTTGTTTATACAAAAACAGAATATTGTATATTTTGGGCATCACAAAATCGAGGTTGTATCCTTCTTAGTGTGTAAGTTTTCCCCATTATTGGTAATGTTAACCTAAGTCACTTGGTTAAGGTGACATCACTTGGGTGGGGTGGTATTTCCAGATTTTTCCACTGTAAAGTTTCTTTCTGAGTAGAAGTAACACACACAGAGGCACAAGTGTGTGAAACAGCACCGTGTGCTCTGTGTAGATGGGAGATAACATTTATGGCAGTAGATGAAGGTGGGTAATCCCACAGGAACGGAACCAGAGAGGATCTTGAACACCGAGCTGAGGAGTTTACAGACCCCGGCCACGGAGAGAGCAGTTTTGAGCAGTGTCCTGATGTAGTCAGCTTTGCATTTTACTTTGGTTTTTGGGTTTGGTTGTCTGCCAAGGACCAAGCAGGTGAAGGATGGTAGGTACCTGGGTTGCAGAGCAGAAAAAGTTTTTGGTTGCTTCAGAGCAGATTGAAGAGCCGTAGCAGGTGCCATTCTCTTAGTTTGGATAAGAGACACCAGAGCCACTCCTGGAATGCTGCACCCTGAAGCCACTTGTTCGTGTCAGTCACATCGCTGCCAGAAGTTGCTTGGCACAGCTAGGTTGAAGTCAGCAGTCGGTTCTTCCCTGCATAACCTTGAGCATGGCTGTCTCTCACTGAGTGCCATCTCCTCATCTCTAAAATGCACAGGATAGTAATAATGTATACCTTTGGAGGTTGTTAAAAGCATCAAATGAAATAACCTGTGTGCAAGTACATTATAAGCTTTAAAATACGGTGCAGGTGTTTATCTTGACAAAAGCACTTTGACACGGTGTATTTTTTCCCCACTTTTCAGGCAGTTTTATGCCATCCTAACAGATTTTATCATCTCTGATTAACACTGCTGTTATTTGCTTTATATTCTTTAAATCAACTTTTTAAAAACAGAATACAAGTTAATTTTCAAAGGGAATTTATCATTTGAGTGGATTAAAAGAATCAGTATTTGTAATACACTAGCATAAGAGTTTATTTATGTGGCTGGGGATATAGATCAGTGGCATAAGCATCTTCCTGACAAGCAGAAGGTCCTGAGTTCAATTCCCATTATTAAAAAAAGGAAAAGAAAAGCATGAAGAGTTTATTTATGCACCAATGTTACATTGAATGAATGTCTCTCCAGTGGAACTCAGATACAATACGGGAAACACAGGCGAGGGAAGAAAGAGGCTGGTTTTAGTCTTTTACCTGAGATACAGTCCTGATTGTTGTGTTTAGTTTTTAATCTCCATAAGCAAAATACTTTATTTCCTTGAGCCTTAGGTTCAGCTGTCCAATGGTAATGATACTGATACTTTCCTCATGAGTTTTTTACCCAGAATAATAGTACCTAACGTATACTACATGTCCATCATATGCCAGTTTTCTTATTCATTATAGGGCTGAAAGAGGACACAAGTTTTTAAGTTTTAAAACAAGAAGCTGGTAAGATACAGATCTGTAAGATTTTTGATCATTTGGAGGGTTTTTTGTCGTTTATCTATTTGGTTTTGGGTTGTTTTAGGGTTGTTTTGTTTTGTCTAGACAGAGTCTTGCTATGTATTCCAGGCTGACCTTGAACTCACTATGTAGCCTAGGCTAGTCTTGAACTCATGGCGATTCTCCTGCCTCAGCTTCCTGAGTGCTGGGGTTATAGGTGTGGCCACCATACCTGGCCACGGTTTTTGGTTCTTAAAAGAAAAAAGTAGAGCATGTTGAGTTTCTTCCTCACCTCTAGGACTGTGAGAGAGGTATCAGCTGAAATATGTGTAGTGTTGTATCTGCCTTTGATAGGTTTTTGTTTTGTAGTTGGGAACTGGAGCAAAGATGTATGAGATGTCAGTATTGGAGTTGGAAATATCTAAAGACTGCCACTGACCCTAAAACAGCAGGGAAGGGATTTAAGGATTTTTTTAAACTTGAAATTAGATTGAAGGAATGCTGCCACATAACAGCCAGTGTACATTTAGGTTAATATAAGCCATATATGCTTCTCACTGCAAATTCCCAGCAGGCTTGTAAAGCAGAGTGTGCCCCCTCATTTTGCAGATGAGGGTACAAAGACTCTTGCAAAGTTGCTGTCACCTTTGTTGAGCTTATTGCATGTATTCTGTGTCTGTCATTTGTACCTGGGGCCACTGGGGGCTCCACAGTATCTGCTGCCAGTGAGATATTCTGCAGTAAATAGGGTATGTGCTTTAGGTCCAGAAAGACTTAGTTTAATCTCAGCTTCCCCAGACTTTGAGCCAAATGAACTCTCTTTTTGTACTTAGACCTCTGAGTTTGCTTCTGACTGCCTTATGTTTCTTCCAGCTATCAGAGAAGATGGCATGCCTGGAGGCCGGAATAAGAGCATCGGGCCTGTCCAGGTAAGTTCTTGGTCTGTCCTGGAAGCCCGGTGTCGCAGACGCTCCTGGGCCTGCTCACCTCGACCCTTTCATCTCTTGCAGGGTAGCCATCTGTATTTTCCTTCCTGGAAAACTGCTTTTAGAGCCTAGATTTGAAAGTATTCTGAAAATCTCATCTGTAAAAGCTAATAATTAAAGCTTTTCTTGCGATCTGTCAGCCCTTCCTAAGTATTTCACAGGCAGTGAGCACAATTCTGGCTCTGAACCAGAGGTTGTTTTTGCTTTTGTTGTTTTTGTTTTTGTCCTTCATTTAAAATTATAGGTAACTTCATCTGACAGAAATCAACAAGACTAATTTGTTGTTCATTTCTTCTAAAGATATATCAACAGAATATTCATTATTTGTAGAGTAGGAAAATAATACCTGAATCAATCTTACAAATATTTACTAAGCTCCTACTCTGCCAGGCTCTATTCTTTGACCGCTGTCCAGTGGAAAGCATAGATATGTAAACAGGTATCATCGTACAGTGAGTGTGACAGAGGTTGCCCCAGAGGACAGAGCAACGGGCTTCTATTTCTTTTGAGCTAGAGACAGAGTTGACGACTGGAGACATTCAGGGAGGCTTCCTTCAGAAGGCAGTGTTTGAACTGAGTATTGAGAAGGAGGAAGAATTAGCTGTATTGGGAAGGCATGGGAAGCTGTGCGCCTTTATTCGTGCTAGACAGTATAGACTCTGGAGACTGGAAGCTGAATCTTTAAGGGAGGGCAAGGAGTGAGGAGATTGTTCAGTGAGGCTGGAGCTTTCGGCACACGTAGTGGAGTGGCGGAAATAAGATGGATTCCTTCAATTTGGAATCAGTTCTCTAGAGTGGCCTTCAGTTATCTTTGACTCTAGCCTCTATACAAAACCTTTTTTTTTTTTTACAGTCCTGGAGATTAAACCCAGGGCCTTGTGCATTCTAGGCATGTGCTGTATCACTGATGTACATCCATAGCCTTTTTGTTTTGTTTCATTTGTGAGACAGTGTCTCTCTAAACTGCCAGTCTGGCCTTGAATTTTGTGTCTTCCTGTCTCATCTTCCTGAGTAGCTTGGATTACAGGCACGTACCATAGTGCCTGGCTAAGTCCAGCCTTTGTGGAGCCAGCCTACACCACTTGTTTTTGCCTGCCAGCAGGACTTTGTGAAGATAGAGAATTGGATGTATTTATGACCCATTAACTGAATCCTTCAGCACACTAGGGTACAAGCACCATGCCTTAAGAAGTTTTTGGTTGTGTACCAAAAGGCAACCATTAAAAGACTTTTTTTTTTTTTTTTTTTTTTTTTGAGATAGGATCTTACTGTGTAGTACACGCTGGCCTTTAACTCACTTACATAGCCCAGGCTGGCCTCAAACTCATGGTGATCCTCCTGCCTCAGCCTCCCAAGTGCAGGGGTTACAGGCATGTACCACCACACCAGGCTAAAAGACTTTTGAGTAGGGAGAGGGCCATATTCAGATTTGCATTTTGTAAAAATCATTCTAGCAGTGAAAACAGTTTGTAAAGAGTGAAACAGAGAGGGAAAAAATAGCAGATTTAAAAAAAACAGCAGATAAAAGGGCTTTGCAGAAGTTCAGTCTAAGAGATACAGATAATAGTTTGAAGTAGGGCAGTGACAGTGCAGATTGAGAGGCAGAGATAGATTCAAGAGATGGTAAATAAGTAGTCTAAATGATAGGATTTCTCCAGTTAAACATGAAGAAATGAAAGACAGGAGTCCAGAGATAAACACTGATGAGATATGGGAGATGTCCTATCACATGAGCTTGGTCCATAGTATACACTTGATCAGGGTGTGTGTATTTTAATTTATTTTGATGCAGGGTCTCGCTATGTTCTGTGTGTTAGCTGGCTTCCTGTTCTGAGTGGTCCTATATTTATAACCCAGGCAGCCTAGGTTCCCTTAGAGGCTGCTGGAGCAAAGAATTGTGCAAATTTGAGTCAGACATGTTGGGTCCTCTGAGGTTCCATAGGAACAATACATAAAAATTCTTCTGTCTCCTCCTTAGCAGTTCCTCTCCCTCTGTACGTTGAGGGTAGCCAGTTAGGCCTTCGGTCTAGGTTAGAGACGATAGAAGTTTACGCACTCTGTGGTAGCAGCTAGAGCACTGGACTGAGTCCTTGCGTACTTTGGCTCCTCTCTCAAACTCCTGCCCACACATGGGCACACAGTGTAACCAGTGCAGTTTACATAGACTTAGGGGAGTGTCCTTGTTACTAAGAAAATCACATGAAAGTACGTGGCTGGTGTTTAATAAAGGAACATTTGTTTATTCAACACATTTACTAAGTACTTCCTCTTTTCTAAATCCTACCATGGTCTTCAGTCTTGTAGGGGATATTTTTGTGATACCCTACCATAAGTCCATTAAAATGACAGTGCCCAGCATGCTGTCACATACCTGTAGTCCTAGCCACTTGGGAGACCAAGCCATTGGTATCTCATGAGTCCAGGAGTTCAAAACATGCCTACACAGCATAGCAAGACCCTATCTCAAAAAACAACACAACAAACAAAGTACGTAATCAACTCTTCCATATTTGCTTGCATATGCCAGGTCCTTTGCATTTACTAATTGAATCCTCCTCACAAGCTTCCTGTGAGAAGGAAACTTACTCTCTGTGTCATATAGACAAAGGAATTTAGGTTTAGTAGTTTGATGATTTGCCCAATATTTTACAACTAAGGTAACTTTTTTTTTTTTTTTTTTTTTTTTTGTCTTTTTGAGGCAGGTTCAGGCTGGCCTTAAGCTCACTATGTAGCTCAGGCTGGTCTTGAACTCACCGCTATCCTCCTGCCTCAGCCTCCCGAGTGCTGGGATTACAGGCGTGCGCCACCACGCCCGGCAATATTTTACAACTAGAGATGGATTTGAACAAAGGTGGTCTGACTCCAGAATTTACACACTCAGCCACTATACTGTTGTCTGTCTCCCAGAATGCAAAGAATTATGAGTGGAGAGAAGGACCTGAAATTTTAAGTGTTAATGGAAAGTGTTTTGTTTTATATTGTTTCGGTTTTTTGAGATAGGATCTTGCTGTGTGGCCCAGGCTGGCCTGGAATTTGTGGTGCTCCTCCTGCCTCAGCTCCCAAGTGCTGGGATTACAAGGGGTCCTCACCACCATGCCCTGCTGAAAGTTTCATAAAGATGTTTGAATTGGATCTTAAAAACAAATAGGAGTAGTAAGAGCCATGCAGACTTTGTGGCATGAGAGTGGGTGGGGTAAATGGGCAAGGGAAAGGCTGTGATAGATGATAGTGCTGGCAGGCAAGCAGCCAAAGACTCCCAAGATTAGTGAGAGACTTGGAGTGTGGGTGTAGGAGAGGGCATCTGGGGCTCTTTCTAGAGATTGCTAAGAGTCCTGTGAGACTGGAGCAGGAACAGGTGTCTTGCGCACCCAGTCTAACGTGTTAATTCCTTACCAAAGATATCAGAAGAGGAGATCGAAAGGATCATGTCTGGGCAGGAGTTTGAGGAAGAAGCCAATCATTGGAGCAACCATGGTGACAGCGACCATAGTTCCCCTGGGAACAGGGCTTCAGAGAGCAACCAGCCCTCACCAGGGTCCACGCTCTCCTCCAGGTGAGCTTTAAGGCAAATCCAGTTTCTTCATCTAGGACCGCACAAAGAGTAGACCCACAAGGAACCCCTGGCTGAGCTCCTGCCAGGTCACACTAACCACTGTGCTCTTACTCCCTCAGCCATGTTTCCCACCCCATTTTATGCTAAGACCTCAAGATGTCAACAGTCTCTTCTGCAGACTGGTAAAGTACGATAAGTTTCTATGCATATACACACAGCCTTCGTCAAGTAGAATGTTTGAAGTATAGAACTTTCATTTATTTATTCATTCATTCATTGGTGCTGGGGACTGAATCTCTCATTTATTTTATCACTGAAGTAGAACAAACCATGCAGCTAGGCATAGTGGTTTGTGCCTGTAGTTCCAGCTACTTAGGAGGCTGAGGCGGGAAGATTGTAAGTTCAAGACCAGCCTGGGTGATTTAGTAATACCCTATCTCAAAACAAAAAGGGCTGGTAATGTAGCTCAGGGTAGAGGATCTCTGGGTTCATTTGATGCTAGTACTACAAAACAAAATAAAAGGTCACACTAATAATGCTGAATTAGGCTATAATTTTTCTGCCTTGCAAGAGTCGGTGTTTTTCAATTTATAAATTTTAAGAAACAGTGAAAGTTTTTGAGGCCAGACAGATTTGCTGCTCTATAAGGGTATGCAAATTTAAAGATTCATGGTTCAAGTGTGATTTTTTTTTTAATTTCTGTTTTTATCAGTAATGTTTGTAGTACATAATGATGATGGTTATTGTGGGGAATTGGTCCATGTGCATAACACAGCTTAATTCTTTTTTTGGCCCTTTTCCTGCCCTTCCCTCCTGCTCTCCATCTCTTGGTCCCCTTGTCATTTGCAAAAGATCTGTTTTCCTGTTTCCTGTTATCTGTTCATTACTTTGCTTTTTGTTATTTTTGTTGGTTTGTTTGTTTGATTTTTGAGACATGGTCTTACTATGTAGTTCAGGGTGCTTTTGAACTCAATATGTAGCCAAGGCTGGCCTCAAACTCATGATGATCTTCCTGCCGCAGCCTCTTGAGTGCTGGGATTATAGGCATGTGCCACTATGCCCAGCTATTTTGCTTTTTAAATTATTTATACTTTGGGTTTATCATATAAGAAAAGCTGTGACAAACATGGCATCTTTTTTTTTTTTGAAACAGAGTCTTACTATGTATGCAGTTCAGGCTGGCCTTGAACTCACTTTGTAGTCCCAGTTGGCTTCGAGCTCACAGTGATCCTTCTGCCTCAGCCTCCTGAGCGCTGGAACTACAGGCGTGTGCCACCGCGCCCAGCCAAAATGACATTTTAAAATAGCTCCCAGGTATAAAATAGAACCCTTAACTATCAGGGAAGGGCTCCTTATGTAAAGGTCATACAGTATAATCAGACTTTTCAGGCCTAGTGGTCTGGGTCTCAGCTGTTCAGCTCTACTTTTGGCAGAGAACAAAAGTAGTCACAAATAACATGTAAACCAGTGAGTGTGGCTGTGCGTCAGTAAACTTCATTTGCCAAAACAGGCTATAGCAGTGGTGGCGAACCTGTGGCACATGTGCCACAGTGGAGTATTTATATCATTGAAAGCTCTGTAAGATTCGCCATCACTAGGCTATAGGCTCAACTTGGCCTATAGGATGCAATTTGCAAAACTTGTAGCTATAGAAATATATTTAGGTAAAAACTGCAGAAATTTTTAAAATTCATTGCCAGAGTAGTTAGATTTCTCTAAGAATGGGGAGACAGGTGCAAATTTGCTTCTTTTTAATTATAGAATTTATACCATTCAGGTTTTCCTTAGTTTATTCCATCCTTTGAATAGTTAGGGGGTTATGGCCATATGCCACATTCCTTCCTAGATTTGTTATGTGATCAGGCAAGACACTTAGCTTGTCTGTCTTTGTTTTCTGTGTCTTTGGTTTTCCTACCACTTTTGATTTTCCTATCACTTTTGTCATCATTGTTTATAAGTGTCCATTGGAAACTCTTTAGATATAATATCCAAAGAATTCACCCAACCAATATTTATTCATTATCTACTCTGCCAAGCACTGTGTGTCCTGTGGTGAGCCCCACGTTCATGCCACCCACACAGAATCCTTGTCTCGCAAATGGGAGTCGAGCAGGGGAGATGAACCTAGAACTACTGATTGTGTTCCCTAGCTTCATGAAACACTGACTGTATGGCCAAAGAACACTTGAGCTACCTAGTGGCTCATTTCCTGTGAGTAGACACTAGACCTGCCATGGCTTTGCTTGACATGAGATTTTTCTCTCCAGTAGGTCTGTGGAACTAAATGGATTCATGACATTCAGGGAGCAGTACATGGGGATGTCTGTGCCTCCACATTATCAATATATACCACACCTTTTTAGCTATTCCGGCCATTCACCACTTCTGCCCCCACAAGCTCGCAGCCTGGACCCCCAGTCATACAGTCTGATTCACCAGCTGATGTCAGCCGAGGACTTGGAGCCACTAGGCACACCCATGTTGATCGAAGATGGGTGAGTGAGCTCTACCCTGCTTGCCCCCTTGCAGCCTCCAAATGTCCCTATGCTGTACCCATGTACATCCCCAGCTACCCTACCCCAGGCTTTAGAATAAATCAGGAGATGAGGGGTGATGATGCAAGCATCAGGTGACAAATCTGTGCTCATCTGTAAAGTCAGTAGTTCCTCATTCTTCTGTAATCATCTTTCCTCATAGAATTGGGATTACTTTTCATTCTCTATGGAATTGGGGTTGAAGCAACTTTGTTTCTGCATGGACCTAACTAACCCAGGCCCTGGGATGGGTCTCTGAGAGCTTCTGTGCCAGAAATGAATTACAATCCTGGAGATAATCATACACCTATTTAGGCTCCTTAACAAGGCATTCAAGGCCCAACTGATGCATTGGTTTGCATCTCTAGCCAGCATACTCATAGGTAGCCTGGTGGCGTGTGACCCTTGGATGCAGGCCTGAGTGGGTAGAAGAACTACTGTGAGTCTGCAGTTGCCTCTGCCTAAGTAGGTTATATTCAGCTGTCAGGCCCACCCATTGCTGTACCCTTGAGGCCAGAGCACATAGCATAGGCTGTTTGTTACCAATCTTAGACCTCCCAGAAGGTATCCTGAGATTTCCTGAGCTAATCTTCAGTTTCAGAAGCGAAGACTGAGATATCCACCCACAAGAAGGCAGACAGAGCCTTTACATATCTGAATACAGAGGCATACGAAGATATCACGGAACATTGGAAGGAAAAAGCTAGGGCACTGAGTCTGTGGCCCCAGAGGGCCCCCTCAGGCTAGAGGGGAGAAATGCTGTGCTGTTTCTATCCAGCTGAAAGATTAAGGGAAGGCTGAGCAACTCTGATTCCTGAACTCACCACCAGAGGGTGCAGTGAGAACAGGAAAAGCTGCTGAACTCATTGTGTTCTTTCAACTGTTGGGCCCCACTGCTTTTTTTTTTTTGTGGTTCCTGTATTATGTGGGCACCACATTTACCTCACTAGAGTTCTCATGGCCCACACTAGGGCAGGAGTGATTTTGAATTTTCTCTAAGACATAGAACATTAGAGGACACCAGCATTAAAAGTCATTTTTCATGATAATTGCACAAATTTCTAAGTGTCCTTTTCTCTCAGCATCCTTTACTTACCAAAGCCACCTCTACCTCCCTGAGCTTGCTCCTGACCTCAGTCTTGCCCTCTTGTAAGAAAACTGAGTCGAAGATGGGTACAGTGGCACATCCATGAAACCACAGCACTCTGGGAAGTTGATGCGGGAGGATCTTAAGTTCAAACCTACCCTCGACAACTTAGCAAGATTCTGTCTCAAACAATAAAGAAAAAGCAAAAAAGTTGGGGCTGTAGTTCATTGGTGAAATGCTTACCTAGCATACTAAGACCCTGGGTTTGATTTCCCAGGACCACAAAAAAAGAAAAGAAAATGGGCTGGTGATGTAACTCAGTGCAGTGCTAAGTTAAATCCCTAGTACCGCAAAATATAAATAAATAAAATTGAGTTGAATGAAACTGAAGATCCATGATCAAGGGGGAAGGATCTTACTACCAGGGACACTTTGTGCCCTTAGGGGTGGCTGCTTGTGTCTATCCTCGCCTCCAGCTGATAGAAATGGCTTTCCCTGTCCCCAGATATGCTGTGACACAGGCAGAGCTGTTCGCCCTGCTTTGCCGGCTGGCTGACGAACTGCTCTTTAGGCAGATTGCCTGGATCAAGAAGCTGCCTTTCTTCTGTGAGCTCTCAATCAAGGATTACACGTGCCTCTTGAGCTCTACGTGGCAGGAGTTAATCTTGCTGTCGTCCCTCACTGTTTACAGCAAGCAGATCTTTGGGGAGCTGGCCGATGTCACTGCCAAGTACTCACCCTCTGATGAAGAACTGCACAGGTGAGGCTGCTGGCTGGGGAGGAACCCAAAACAACCAAACCACTCTCACCCTGTGTGCCTGCCCTCCAGAGGATGGGCACTAAACCATAGCCACCTGAATTTGGATCCTTGCTATGCCACTAAATAGTTCTGTGGTATTGGCCGGGTCTCTCTTCTTCAGGTCTTAAATTTTAAAAATGAGATAAGGACAATACCCTCCCCAAGCTGGGGATGTGGCTCAGTGGTAGAGCTCTTGCCTTGCATGCAGAAAGCCCTGGGTTCGATGCCCAGTACCACAAAAAAAAAAAACTTCCCCCAAAAGTGGTTATGAGGAGCAAACATTATAGAGTCAGACTTAGCAGAGTGCAAAGCTGTTGTGTCTGTGACATCTAGATTTATGAGATATGACAGTGTATCTGGAAGAAACAAAAATCTGAACTGTGCTTACAAAAAGAGGCTGTGAACTATAGTTTGTAATCCAAGAAAGAGACCTAGGAGTCTTTATGGTACTATTATATGTCAGAGACTAGCTTAGATATTGTATAGTGTCTTATTTCCTTCTCACAGTGTCCAGTGTTACAGGTCTTTGTGCCTTTTTCATGGATAAGAAAACTGGAATTCAGAGAGCCCAGAGTCTGTGTTGGAACTTGCACTTGTCTGACTGCAAAGCTTAGGCTTTTTCATGCATCTGAGATGTGGTGAGATGTTAAGAGCATGGAACTAAGAGGCTGAGTGGTTCTCTTGTCCATTTTCTGTCATGAAGTTTCATCTCAGGGACCACATCCCTGGGGATGAGAGTGCACTGACTTCCTTCCTCCCTGCGGCACCACAGCCTCCTCCAGCACTTCTTTACTTACTTGCTTTGGAGACTTGGGGCACATGGTGACTATTTTCTGACACCAAAAATCAAGACAGATGACCTGTTGAGACAGTGTTTCTGGCTTATTGAGTTATTCATGTGAGGAGCTGGGGATTTAGCTCAGCGGCACAGTGCCTGCCTGGCAAGCGCAAGGTTGTGAGTTCAATTCCTGTTACCAGAAAAAAACCAAAAAAAAAGAAGAATTATTCATATGAAATGTCTTACATAGCTTAACTCACATTTAAATAAACATTTTCAATAAACCACCTTTATTGAACATTTTTAAAGTAATGGAAGTCATGGGATTTCAAGGCACTTGGAAGGAAGGAAGAAAAGATGCACAGGTATGAAAGCTGGAGAGGGTGGAGTACTAGCCCCCATACTTCTGTTCGCAGGACTGGGCTACATCCCCTTCCCCCCAGTCATGGCATAGAAACAAGGCCAAGGCTCAAGCTGGAAGCAAAGCTCTGAGACCTTCCAGGGCCCTTTGCAGAGCTGAGGGAGGGAAGAGTCTGGGTGCTGACCCTCTCCCCTGCTTTTCTAGTATTTCTTTATTAATGGTGCTTACTGGCTTCAGGATGATCTATAAGTGACAGAGTTTTGAACCCAGCTGACTCTTTGTCCTGTAAACAGAGCTGTCTAATTTTGCAGATAACCTAACCCCTTGTCCAGAGCCTCTAATTCATTATTTCCAGCAAAGTCCTGTCTAATTCCATAACTCTGGGCTAAGAGGTGTTTGGATAGCAGTCTGCCTGCTCTGATGTTGTCAGGAGTTTGCCAGCTGGCTCCCCTGTTTGCCTGGGGCTGCTATAGAGTCAGCAAAGGTAGGGGCCAGTAGCAGCCGAATTACTGAGGAAAGCTTTACTTCCTAGAATGTCTCCTTATAAAGGAGGATCTAAAGCTACACTGTCCAATATAGTAGCCACTAGCCTCCTGTGGCTTCTCAAACAATTAACTAAAATTAAAAATCCATTTCCTCATTTGCCGCTAGCCACGTGTGGCTAGTGGCTACCATATTGGATACAGCAAACATTAAGTCTTCTTTTCCATCATCACAGTTTTAACAGAGCGGACTCTAGAACATGTTTCTGCTGAACTCCAAGTAGGTCCTAAGGATTTTTAAAAAAGGGATTTATTGTTAGGATTCTTACCCTGCTGTGGAACCCATCAATAGAAAAAAAAAAAAGAATTGAACTTCAGTGTGTTAGTTCTGGCTGTTTACTGATCATCTGTTGTACATTTGGGGAGGAGGCTGGGATTGCAGATGATACAAATAATGGCTTCTGACTCTGAGAGTCCATATTCTTGGTTGAGAGGGTTGGGAGGCACATAGAAGCAGATCCAGTCTACAGTGCAAGGTCTTATTATTGGAGTTTGAGGGGTGCGTGAAGGACTGTATAAGCAGATTAGGGAGTGAGGGCGTCTGCTTACAGATTTAGAGAAGACTTCCTAGAGCAACAGACATTGGCATTGCACCTGGAAGTGAGAAGTCTCTGGGTACATTGTAGGAAACAGAAGGAAGGCAGGAGAGCAACACAGAAGTCTTAGGAGTTAGTCCTAGGTGAATGCTATGTGCAGAGACCCAAAAGCAAGCCTGCAGACGAAGGTAGAAAGACAGCATGTGTGGGAGAACCAGAGAAGTGACTGGAGGGAAGGGTGCAGTCAAGGTGATTCAGAAAGGGGCTCAAATGCCAATCTAAAGAATTTGGACTTAATCATGTAAATTGTATTATTTTACGTTTAGGAAGTTTTCATGTGGAAGAATTACATACTTAGAAGGGTTTCCATGACTGTAAGTTCAAGGTAGCTTGGCATGGACAAACCTAGAGCACTGTAGCTGAGGAGGCTCTTCACAGCCATCTGAAAGAAACCAAGGCCCAGACCAGGCAAGAGTGATGTAGGACTAAAGAGGGCAGCACAAAGCTAAGCATTCGCAAGGAGGTTGTTGGCCGCCTGTGAGTGGGAGAAGTTGAGGTGACTACTAGGTGTTCTGACTAGCTGGGCAGATGGGTACAGATCCTCTCAGCTGAGAGAGGAGCCTGGGAAGAGCACAATGGGGGATGAGCCACTCTGAGTTTGGCTTGGGGGGTCTGGAAAGCCTGAAGTGCGAGTGAAACTGGGAGAGCATAGCATGGGAGATGCAGGGCCTGTGGAGGCAGGTTAATCACTGGAAAGTCTCCCCCTCTGCTAGAAACCCAGGGTGTGCAGCCTGTAATTAGCCGTAGCTCTTTCCTACTCGGCTTGCGCCTGCGTTACTCCCACTCCTCCAGGCGGACTTTGTGCACAACTCTTGCGTGTGAGTGCCTGCTGTCAGGAAAAGCCTTTTCCCAGATGATGCATGACCACCTCCTTTTCTCTCCTTAAATATTCAATCAAATTTATGGTGCCCATATTCCTTAATCAGACTGTTATCACACGGTGAGCTGGACCAATTTGATTTAAAGCAGATTGTAGCACCAGCCCGTGACTGCTCCTGGCCCTAATCAACACTCCTTCACTCCCAGGAGGAGATACGTTGAGCTGTATGGACTTTAATGGGCACTCATGAGCACCAGCTCCATTTTGGCCAAGTCTCTGGAAAGTTGCCTTCCAACTTCCCAGCCTGCAGCCTAAACAGCTATACCCTAGACCTGTAAATACTGTCATCTTTTGCTGCAGTAATGGGAGCAGTGATGATGGCACTAATTTTATTAATAATAACTAATAGTTATAGAGGATTTATTGCACCAAATTGCATTGTAAGTGCTTTACATAGGTTATTTGTTGAATTCTCACTGCCATCCTGAGACTGCACTAATGCTATTTCTGCTGTAGAAATGAGGATCTTCAAAGCAAGAAAGACTATCATCTTGTTTAGTGAAATTCTGTATCATTTCTAATGCCTTTTTAAAATTCTCTTTTAAAAATTTTTTTTTAAAGAAAGCTAGAAAGGATGGAGTTCAAACCATCATCTGGGTCTGTTGTGTTCCGAAGTGCAGGCTCTTTACTATCATTTCCACTAAACTTACTCTCCCAGAGCCTGCTCAGAAGGTTTGACTTTGTGGAGTTGGTCCTGGAACTACAGCCTGATTTTGTATGGGAGTCTGTGTGGGTCCCAAATGGCAGTTCCTTTCAGGCTGTAGCTGACTGCTGCTGGAGAAGACACATTTAATGAATGGAAAAGAGACAACTGGGCCTCTTTGCCCCTTGGTGGGATATAACTTACATAGTGTCAACTTCAATTGCTGACTGAATGGTCCAGTGGTCTGGGGGATCCTGGCAGGAATGTTTTCCTTGCCCTAGCATGCTTATGTGATAGGAACCTAGAAGAAGAATGGGTGTGTTTGTCCAGCTTTATGGCTTTGAATGCTGATAACTTGCAGACAGGGAATACAGTGGCATCAGAACTGTGGAGTGGGCAGATGTGGAGGAGGCACGGCTGTCGGAGAAAGCAGGCCCGTGGAACAGAGAACAACTTTGTTTATCAAGGGGTGGGATGTGGGTGTGGAGGAAAGTTCTGCAGTCAAGCTGTGGAGACTGAGCGGGGGCTGGTGGGCTGGCTGCCAGCCCCCACCAATGCCAGGGGTCCAGGATAGTTGCCTGTTAAAGGAAATTTGGAAAAGATGGATTTTCTGTCCCCAAAAGAAAGAGCAGATCTGGCACACGCATATAGGCCAGCCACTTGAGAGCTCCTTTGTGTCCCACAGGTCACAACGCAGCCAGGAACAGGTTTGGCACTGCTGGTGGGGATCTGGCTGACAGCCACACACCTGCAGGCTCTGCAGTGCCAGTGTGAGCACTTGGGGCAAGAGGTTGCTGATTGAGGGACAGCGTTATCTTTGCTTGTTATGCACCCAGTGACCAGATAGATGCTGACACTGCTTCTCCCCTTGTCCCACCTCATCTCAGCCCCATTCTACACTTCCACGTAAACGCTACAGGGATTGGGGCTAACGCTCTTTTTTTCTTCTCAAGAGCATAAGTAGCCAGCAGAGTACAATGTTGGAGTGATCTGTACTGTCCTCATGCAGCCTTCTGTAGATCTAAGCATCATGGATGCACCCAACACCCATGCAGGACCCTGGGTGTCGAACACAGAGCTCCCAAGGTTGCCCCTTGTGGCATGCAGAAGCCTGTCCCAGTGGACGGTTTGGAATTGAGCATGGATAGTTATAGTACAGGGAAAACGTGTGGGTTGAGATTAGAAAGCTTAGGTTTGAACCTGGGCTCCCTGGCACTTAGGTACTGTGTGACTTGGGAGAAGCCACCTCTGTATCTGTGTTCTCATCCCTAACATAAAGATTTTATTACTTATGTTACAGTTAGCAGGAAGGTAAATTGTAAGAATGGATGTAAAGGGTATGAGTACATAACAGAGGCATAATAAATAACCTCTCTGAGCTTTCGTTTCTACGGTGAACAAAAAAGATTATGGTTAATGTACTTCTTTATTTATTAAAAATATCATGAGATATAATGTATGTGGAATAAAGTGCCCAACAGGCAGCAAACCCTCAGCACATAATTCAACATGGATTTGTCTGTCAGCCACTCTGGGAAAGTAGCAGTAAAGGGGTAAAAGCCATTGGGCCAAGTACAGAGAGACGCTGAGTCACCATCATGATCAGCACACTGAGAGAAGCCCCAGCTCGAACTGGGCTCCATGCCATGTGGCCAAGGGCTCAGAGTTCTGGATCACAGGCACCTACTGCTGTGGCCCAGCTGGTGCTTGAGAATTACAGGCACCTCTAGCCCCAACAACCGTAAGGTTTTCCCCAGGAAGAGAGAATACTATATCCTGTATGCCCAGGAAGTAAGTCAAAGCCTGCAGTTAACACAGAAAGCAGTAAAGTCCAGAAATTATTGTGCATTCCCAGGTATTCTGGGCCCTGCCCAGATAGGGTCCCCTTGGCCTGGCATGAGGCTCTGGTGCCCAGATTTGAACATGTCACCAGGAAGCAGTGGTGGAGCTGAGCTTTTCTTTATGACTAAGTTGACATCTGAGGCCTGTGTAGATCTCTCCTTAGACCACTGTCCAGCTCACTCTTGCAGTGATTCAGGCTGGTCCTGAGCCCGGTGTTTATAAACGCCTGCTTTCCCATTAAACACTACTCCTTGGTTTCGTGATGTCCTCATCTCTGGTATAAAGCATATCCGGAACACTAGGCCCTGGGGCAGCGTAGCCTGGGGCTCCTCTGCCTCAGACTTCATCTCTCCCCAGGGAGCTCACTTCTAACCAGAGAAAGAAGCATGGCCAGTTTTGAGCCCTCTCTGCTAGGACAGGCCAGGACACCACCTCAGACATTGGAAAAATCAAGCCTTTAAGGAGTTAGCCCAGGTTCCAAATTCTGATTTTACACATCTGCCTTCTTTTCATTTGAATTTCTCATCTTTACAATGGTAGTGATTATCTCACCCAGCTCCTAGAGTTGAGAGAATTAAGTGAGCTAATGCGCATAAATACCACCAGAGGCTAACACATCATGGAGACTCAGCATTTCCTTCCCTCCCTGGCTAAAGTCAGGGATAGCAGTAAAATTTTCATTGTGTGTAACCTTGCCCTTCTGGAAACAGTGAACCTAAACAAAATGACTGACAGCTTTTTCAGTATTGTGGCAGAGGCTCACGTAGAGTCACCACGGCAGCTGCATCTCAACAAAAGCTGTATCTTAAAGCCGGGCATTATGGCATAATGCTAGCACACAGGGAGGCCGAAGAAGGCAGAACTGAAGTTCAGCCCCAGCCTGGGCTACTTAGCAAGACCCTGTCTCAAAATTTTAAAAAAGGACTGAGGATGTAGATCAGTGCAAAGGCCCTTGGTCAGTCTCCAATACCACCAAAAAAAGAGTATCTTCATGTTGTCGTATTTTTCTACATTTATATCCCAACGTTCCTCTGGCTCTTGTTAGCCCAAGCAGGCACACATTTTTTTTTGCAAAGGAGGACCTCAAAGCTTGGAGGGGTCAAATGACCTTCACAGGGTCTCACAGCTGTGTGAGATGGAGCTAGAATTGAGCCCAGATCTGACTCTGCCCTACCTCAAGGCAAACAGCCTGCAAGAGCTATGCTGGCCCTAAACAAACCGTGAATCTGCTCATAGATTCTGTTTTGCCAAGGTCAGCCTCTCTCCTGTTGTAGACACCTTAAGTAGTGAGCTATAGGAGCCCACATGTGAAACGTGTTTCTGTTCCTCAGATTTAGTGATGAAGGGATGGAGGTAATTGAGCGGCTCATCTACCTGTATCACAAGTTCCACCAGCTGAAGGTCAGCAATGAGGAATATGCGTGCATGAAAGCCATTAACTTCCTAAATCAAGGTGAGTGTCTAGGGTAGGACTGGGGAAAGGGATATTTTTTTCTTACCAATGAGCATTTTCCTTCCTGTTTCATAACCATGCATGCGCACGCGCACACACAGACACACACACTCCCTCAGGACTGTTGCAGAACCTGTCACACCATGTGACGACCAATTTTGGAAGACCTGAACCTCCCCCCTTGTCATCATCTGCCCCTTTAACCTGCCCCTTTACAGTGCAGGGAATGCTTTTGATTTTTTCTTGAAACCTAAATGCCACAATCTCTATAACTCATAGAGGAAGAAAGAGGATTCACTTTGTTTAGTCAATTTTCATGCATTTAAACGCAGACACCAAGGACAGTACATGCGTCATTTAAAATATGTACCAAGTTTACCAGTCATTGAAGAAGAGCAGAGTGACTGATGAAGCCATTGGAGATAAGGCCTCTATGACAGGCCAGCAGTGGTTCTGACGCCCTTTTGGGAAGAGTGGCAGTACACAGAAACTCACATAACTATCAAGCATGGTTTGTAGTTAGAAGAGTGCCAGATGTGATTTTTGTGGAGCATTTACCTGCAGTGTGGCACTTGGTAGCTGCTGGTAATCAGCATGTGAAGGAAAATTCGTGTTCTTTTTTCTGCAGTGACAAGTGAATGCTCTACTCCCAGAGTAGAACTGGGCAGTGTTCGTGTCTGTGGCACCGAAAGTGCTTTTTTTCTGTACTCAGTTTGCCAATCCAGAGATTCTTGGTCCCCTCCCCTTGCCTGTCCGTCCTCTTCTCCCCATGCTGGCCAGACCTCCTCGGCCAGACCTCCTCCTCCAGCCTCCACACTGCTTATGTATTTATCTGGTGTCTGCATGCCTCCCCCCAGGCTAAGCCCTGTGCTGAGCACTAGCGACATTAAAAGAAATTAGACCCCAGGCTCCTCGAGCAGTACCTGTTCTGCTAGCACTTGGCACATTCACTCCTCCTCTTTAGAGGAAGAGGTCACACTGATTTCTTGGAGGAGGAGAAACTTGAGCTGGGCTTCAAAGCCTGGATAAGACTGATACAGAGAATATTTTATTCATATTCTATATATAAAAATGTATGTGGGCCAAGGATATAGCTCAGCAGCACAGTGCCTGTCTGGCAAGCATGAGGTCCTGAGTTTGATTCCTGGTACACCGCACACAAAAAAAATGTATGTGTATAGGTAGTTGGAGAAAGAATTATATAGAACGATAGAGGGACAGACTACCAGAAATAAGAGCAGAGGAAAATGAAGATCTCGTGTGTGTGTGTGTGTGTGTGTGTGTGTGTGTGTGTGTGTGTTTTGGGTGTTGTATATGTATTCAGCACACATGAACATGTAGGTAGCAGCAAGATTTCTGATTGGCTCCAACATTAGGCAAATTTAGACAGGCAAATTTAGAGAGATGGGTAATCATTTTTGTGGTAATCCTTCATTGTTGCGTGTTTTGTGCTGTGCCCTGTGCTGGGAGCTGGGTGTAAAGTTGAGGAAGACTCAGCCTAGTATTCAAATCTAGTAACTGTCTATA